CTCTGAGGCACCCTGTGGTGAGTGCTGCCCTGGGTCGACATGACTGTGGAGTATCTAAGTCAGTGGTAAAGTGGGTTATTTGGAACAGGACTTCACTGTAGTGGGGCAGGAGCCAGCAAACTTCGTCTATAAAAAAACAAGAGTAAATATTTTAGCCTTTGAGGGCCATTCATAGTCTTTATTGCATTTTGCATGTGTGTTGGGTGTTTTCTTAAAACCCTTTATTGTTAGCACCGGGCCACACTTTGCAGACCCCTCCGTGGAGCAAGAGGGATGGAAGATGAGCAGCATGGCTGAAGCACAGTTCAGAGTGACTCAGAAAAGACCACACTTCTCACTGCCTTCACTTGCTCATGCATATAAATATACATCCGCATAGTTGGGTGATTACAGTTTTAAATTATTTTGCACATTTACATGAGTTATAAGACTTGAGGCTCATTTTAGCACCCCACAGTCCTCACACCGGGCTTTTATTTTTACAATGCTCCCCACATTGTGGAATTTCCTGACCTCAGAAGTTTTATGCCTGAAAGGCACGGCTATGAGTTATGCATAGAGTGAGCTTTTGGTTTTAGTATTATTTCATTTACGAAAACAAACTTCACACATTGCCTTCTTCTAAAGGCTTACAGTGGCCAGGACTTTGGTGTGAAATGGGCCTGCCTGCTTTCCTTTAGCTGAAGTAGAATCTTGGTTGCAGTAGCCAAGAAAAACAAATCCCTTTTCACACGTAAACCATAAAAGATGCCGAGAGGTGACTTCTGTTGGCGGAGCTCAGGATTTCTTCCTCTACCACTTAAAATCCCTTTCACTCATACCCATAGACCCCTCATGCTAAACACAGTGTGAACCATCTTTCCGAAGCTGCAAATGTTCAGTCTGGTTTGTTTAAAAGCTTTCCTTGTAGTGACTGTGCAATGCCTTTCAGTAGTCGGGCCTGGGCATTTCTCTTCGGGAATTAGGTTTCCTACTTGTTTACTGCCCCTACCTTTGTTTTGTTTTGAAGGATTTAACAAATTCTTAATAAATGGTTCTGTCAAGTAATTTAACTAATTTCAGCACATGCTTCTGAATATCAGTTTACATTCATGTTAGGATGGTCTCTTAATGGGGAAAACAGAAATGCCTTTTCAGTGAATCTATTTGTTTTAAAACAGCTTCTGTTTTACTTTATTGAAGAGAGTGCTGGTTATTCTTACCCCATAGCTATATAGGCAGAATTCCATTCAGAAAAGTGCATATATCCTAATTTAATAATAAATGGAAATTGGGATTTTATTTAATTCTGACCCCTTCCCACATGCTGTTCTAGATAAACACCATTAGTGAAAAAAAAAGTACCAGGCCTGCTTTCCAGAGCCTTTGTGTTTAAACAGTCAATCAAACAAACAAACAAACAAAAAAGGTATTCCATGTTCCATGTAGGTGTTACCTAAAAGCAGGAGAGGACAGTGGTTAGGGAGGGGCCGGATTGGTTTCAGAAGTTTGCAATGTATAAATTTTGAGAGTGACACCAAGCTAGGAAAGCAATGTGGTTATTTAGAATTTTCGATGTCCTTTCAAAACTAGGTGAGTAGCCAGGATTCATTTCCCAGAAGGAGCATCTCTTTGCATAAATGATCCCATAATGTATTAGAACTCTGTTCTGTTCTTTGAGCCCCACACACGCAACAGTCACAGACAGATGAATAAGAACATTTTACAAAGTTGTCCTTTTTGGAAACCCACCCCCAAGCTCCCAATATATTTTCTCTCTCTCTTTTTTTTTTTTTAGACTTGCTGTAGGAATGTAGCCTCTAACATTATCAAAGTCCCTAGCCCTCCCCAACTTGCTAATCCTGTTGCTTCTTAACACAGGGCAAGACTAACCAGCCCTAAAATAAATGGGCTGCGAATGCCAGGAATGGGTCTTGTGATCCTTCCTTCCAAGCTGGTACACTTTGCTAGGCAGGCAGTTGTTTCTCTCTCCATTTGAGAAGAGATTTTTCTACCCGCTTCTGATGACGGCTCTTGAAGGACCAAACCAAGAGTATTTAATGGGTTACCCACACACTCAAGGAAAGCAAACATCATTGCAGAAGCAGCCTCTGAGAACACAGGCCAGGCACTCTCTGAAAACAAAGCTTCCCTGATGACAATGCAGAAAGCATTTCCTTTTGAGAAGCTGCTGGGCCAAATCAGGTTTGAACATAGTGGCTGAGAGAGAGCGCGTCACTGCCGGTCTGGTCTGTGAGCCCAGCTCCAGCGCGGGCAGCTCAGGTAACGGCTTCCCATTATTTGTAAAATCCAAGGCAGGAAAAGCACGCTGCCCTGGTCCAAGTTTCTCTTCTGTAAACTGAAAATAGAAAATTTCCTTGTGAGCAGTTTAAACGGGAGGACGTCTCAATATAAAACAAGTTGGAAAATATGTTCAGGGTGAAAGGTCACAATGTTTGGCCTGCATCCCCATAACTGATATTTTCAGGCCGAGTTGAATATATTTTTAGGCCTCCAGATGACTTCCTCAACAAAGTTGCCTTTTTGTGTGCCAAATGTCATTGTGTTCAGTGTAGGAAAAGCTGTTGTCCTGTCTCAGACCTCCTACTCTCTGATACATTCCTGGATCTGGTGAGTTAATTATAGGAAGTCAGGGGATGTGCTGATACTGGAGTTAGACGACAGACCTCATCTGGGCTTCAGAACTGAGCGGTTAATGACGCCATCCCCGATAGGTTTACCTCCATCAAGTGGCTCCCTCAGTAGACTAGCTCTTTAGAGGCACGGAGAGGGAGGACAGTGAACTGTCTTGTTTTCCCAGAGTTAGAACTCTGAGAGAAGTATTAACTACGATCTTATTGGATCTTGGACATTTTCCAGCTGCATGCTTTGGAACCAAGAATGACATAAATCTTTTTCTGCTGTTATTCCCCAAGCTCTTGGTTCTGCATTTTCCCTCACAAAACCCGGTCTGCCTTCATGTCTGGACGTGCACAATATATTGTGTGTGCGGGCCGGACTCCGACAGGGGGGCGCGAGGCTGCTCATCTGAACGTTTTGGATCTGGTGCGTTTGATTTATTTGAGCCTGATTCCCATTCTCCTTAGGAATGTCAAGTCCATTAATTTACTTGCGCTTCATATCCCTTCCCCTCCCCAAACCCAACACCAGGGGAGCTGTAAATGCACCGAAGTGAGGAGCTTCATTTCCTGCTCAGCCCTCTCCATGCCCCCGCCCCTCCCCTGTGCAGGCCGTCTGTCAGGTGTGATTGCATACCTGCCTCATCCTTCCTTTGCTTACAGTCTTCCCTAGAATTGTCTCCTTCTGGGATGCCCCTTATCTTTTCCTAATCTCTTCTGTTCCTCAAATAGAATTATTCAGTAGCTCCTCAAAAGAAGTATCTCACACATTTGATTAAAAGCCCAAAGAAGCTTCAGTGAGTTTTTTTTCTCCTGCGTGAGCAGCATCTGCCAGTTTCCCTGATTTTCCTGCTAATTATCTTCATGTCATCCAGAATTCACTGGAAATGTTATGGCTCGAATAGCATGTATGGCTCACATAGCATCGACTGAGGAAATAGTGGACATACTAGTGGAGCTAAAGGTTTATAGGAGTTGCTGGAGTACAGTATATATCTTCAGTCTATATTCTTATTTAGAAATTTTGTTTGTTTTTAGAACCAGAGAAATAGAAATCAAAACTGCTGAATGTGTTTCTGCCATGGCCCCACCCCTGACATATGGCATGTCACCCCCCTGTGCTTCAGCTTCTCCTTCTGTAGAGTGACATGGGGTTGCGAGTTTGACCTTCAGGGTGAGGCAGCAGGTTCCTGTTCTAGCCAAAGCTTCCTTAACTTTCTTTAAGCCTTAGTTTCCTCATCTGTAAAATGAAGATAATATCTCTCCAGTGGGTCAATATTAGTCTTGATAACATATCTTGTTATCTTGATAACAAAGGGTTTAACAGTGTCTGGAACATAATCAATCAATAATAGTGGTTGTTAGGATTATTATTGATAAAATCATAATTACTTTTCTTTTTGCACTTCACAAAGTATTGGTAGACTCAAATTTTGATTCTCATTGGTATAAATAGAGAAAGTAATTGGGTGTAAAAATCTCCATTACTTAGTGTTTAAAATGAAACCAAAATCATTGGCTGCTCTCAGCCTTCCCAGAGTCAGTTTGCTTTCTTTGGGCACGCCAGTGCCAGTTTATTAATTATGCTGATCTCAAGGCTGCAGACAGATGGACACACACATTGATTCTCTCTCTCATATACACACACACACATTCTCAGTCTATATATGTACATAAAGTTTTTATTACATTTTAGAATATAGTATTAACAAATTATGTTATTACATTTTAGAATATAGTATTAACAAATTATGGATAAAAATTAATCCCTTAGACCAGTGGTCAGCAAACTGCGGCTCGCGAGCCACGTGTGGCTCTTTGGCCCCTTGAGTGTGGCTCTTCCACAAAATACCACGTGTGGGCGCACATGTAAAGTGCGATTGAAACTTCGTGACCCATGTGCAGAAGTCGGTATTTTGTGGAAGAGCCACACTCAAGGGGCCAAAGAGCCGCATGTGGCTCACGAGCTGCAGTTTGCCGATCACTGCACACATTTTGAGATATTTCTCCAAAACACAAAATCTAAATGTTACAATTTTGCAAGTACCTACAATTATGGGATAAGTGGTTTAGCCAGTGACTTAGATTTGGGGCTTGATTGTTTTTTATGATGAGACCATATTGGACTTTTAAAAATGTTTTAATTCCTAGTTATTATTTATTTTATAGTGAAATGTATCAGAGATTGAAGGTGGGAAGAGTTTTAACTAACAAAATATAAAATCTAATATATGGGTATACGTGAGAATTCTAATCACTTACAAGATAAAGTTAAATCACTTGAGCCTATTTGTTCTCATAAGAATTGAAATCTGGCTCTAGATATTCTAATTTCTAAATCAGAATTTTTTTATTTAAAAAAATGTATATAATATATGGAAGGAGTCCTATGCATGAATATATATATTTTGCCCAAGTTTCTACAGATGGGATTGGTTGTGTCTGGTAATTGGATACAGTTAAGTGTTACATAAAGTTTCAGTAATATGCCAAAATATAAAGTACAAGAATAAAAATTCCATTTTCTTTTTGTTCCAGGTTCTCTGGGAGATGCTAACAAGGGAGGTCCCCTTTAAAGGTTTGGAAGGATTACAAGTAGCTTGGCTTGTAGTGGAAAAAAACGAGGTAAGACTACGATTCTCCATTCAGGTACATAGATCAGAAAACAGTATTGGGGTTTTGCAAAAGACTTTTTCATCTTCTTCAAATTGAAAGTAAGTTCACGCTTATGGAAAGATTAGCAGTAGGAGCTAACACAAAGGGTCAAAGTGATGTTATTCCTCATGAATGGACCCTTTACATCTAATTGTTGCAGCTTCACGTCGTGATGCTGTAGATCAAAAATTGTACAAGTACTGTACTAGTTTCTCAGTCTCAATTGTAAAACCTAGGGGTTTGTTCTTAGTGATGAAAGAAGCCATTGCGTCCAAGGTAGGGGAACAGTTTAACTCCATCTCCTGCGTTTAGGACATCTTTTTTACTGGCTGGGAGTTGATATATCTGTAAGAGACCTTCAGCTACTTCAACTTACCTCTCCCAGCAGGAGTCACTATAGTACAAGAAACTGTCGCTTAGATGAGAATTTCAAAAATAAAAGAAGAAAAAATAGTTTCAAAAAAGGGAAAAATTACAGTTTTGCCACCTACGTTGAGCACTACATTGAAGATGAGCTCCTCGCTGGAATTGCCGAGGCAGTGGCATAGCTGTGCGCTTCTTCATGCAGAGCCTTTCCATTTCAAAAGAACTTCAGTGGCGTAAACACCGTTTGTGCTGTGTCCCCAGCCTCGCTTTTCTTCTTCCCACAAATTGAGGCTCTCAGTTAGTTGGACCTATGAGCCTACATCAGAGAACATGGTACATTCATATCAAAGAGAGCAACTACGTTTTGAAAGGTTTAAAATTGTGACTGAAACGCACAGCCATGGAAATGTTCAGCATACGGATGAAGCATCCAGTGCCAGGGTATTGTGAGAACTTAGATCATGTCATGGGAGCACGCGGTTGTCTTTGCAATGCAAAACAACGTCATTGCACAGAACTTCTTCATTCCAAGCCTGGTCTGTGCCCCCTACAAAGGGCAAGAGTGTAACCTGAGGATAAAATATTTTGCAAAAGATGAATATATATTTATAGAGAGAGTCCCCTTTTAATGTACTTTTAAAAGAATTAGATAGATCTACTCCCCAGGTGAGTGCAGGGACAAACTAGATTAATCAAATAGCTGCTATCGACTAAGAGAAACCAGGTTTCCATATTTTAGGTCACATAATCCAGAGTTATTAATTTTTCCTCCTGAGCCATTGAGAATGGATGAAATGTTCGTGATAACCGAACTTGATAGGAGAGTGCTGCCAATTTAAGAAAAATTACAAGGAGTTACGTTCAAGAATGTGTCTTACTCATTGTTTCACAGGAACTGCTCTGTTTTAATTAAATGTGGGAGTAATTCCTGGTGTGCAATTAAATCAGGCCTTGCATACAAGAGAACTGATATTTTTATGATATGAAAACCCACTTGGTCTGTTTCTTTTGCCAGTGAGATGATTAGATATTTGGTTCTGGGTTTACAGATGAGAATGAAGAAAATTATTGACCTTCTGTTGACTGTGGAGCAGAGCACTCAATATCATTTTTTTCCTCTCTACCTTGTTTCAAGATAAACTCTTTTTAAAGCTAACCGGACCCTCAAAATACGTATAAGGACAGAATAATTAATCTTTGAAGTAACATTTCATCTTATAGGTATAAATCTAAAGTACTTTCAAAACATTGGAGTGCCCATCAAGGAATTTTAAAGCTGGAGAGAAAAATGAATTTAGAAGGTGCCTTTGGATAGTTGACTTGAGGGTTGGGAATCATCCATAACCTTCAGAACCTCCTCAACATGTATACAAGGAGGCCAGCCCCTTCTCCCCAGGAACCCCCTAAAGTAGACTACTGTTTTATCCATGGTATGATCTTACAATCAGCTAATAACTGAGGGATGCTGCTCAAATACCTCCCATATTGTAGTTATCACATGTAATAGTTGAAAAAACCCATATGGTGAAATAAGTTTTCTCAATTTTCTAATGAACTTCAGGAAAACTAGGCATTACAAATATATTTCTTTATCTGTCTGATCTTACTGTGCACAATATTTATTTGTCAAAAATATGAAAATTAAGCATAAATGTAGTTTCCATTGCCATTGAAGAAGGTGTCTTGGGTTACTGAGTTGAGGAGACAAAGCTGTGTTTTATTAAAAATAAGCCTCATGTAAATAAAGAATGGTATGTTTAAATTTCCAGGGAGATACTTAAAATGTGAACTAGTCACCCTAGAATGTTCCTATATCCAAATATTAGGGTTATCTTTTCGTATTAACATTTTATTCTAAAGAAATGATAGAGTCACAGGAAGTTGAAAAATATCAAGAGTTTCTGGGTACTCTTCCCCTAGCTTCCCCCACTGGTGACACGTAGGTATAGTATCTCAAAACCTGGAAATGGACAGTGACACATTACTCTTAACAAGACTGTAGACCTTACTTGGTTTCACCATTTAGGTTGCTTTTTGCATCTATAGGAAGATCAGTACTGTCTGAAAATTATATCTGAAGGTCTTTGCTTCTAAACCCGAAATAATGAAATAAAATCTTTAAACAATAGTTTTTCCTAATATTAAATCCTATTAAAACCAGATACACAAAGCACTGTTAAACTTTACAAAGCAAACAACGAACCCTTATAGAAGGCAACGAACCCTTATAGAAGACAGCATTAATAATAAATATCTTAAATGTGACAGATATGACCCAGCCAGCTTGGCTCAGTGGTTGAGTGTTGACCTATGAACCAGGAAGTCATGGTTCAATTCCCAGTCAGGGCACATGCCCAGGTTGCAGGCTCAATCCCCAGAAGGGGGCGTGCAGGAGGCAGCCCATCAATGATTCTCTCTCATGGATGTTTCTATCTCGCTTCCTCTCTCTTCCTCTCTGAAATAAATAAAAACATATATTTTTTTAAAAGACTGAGTCTAGATTTAACTGACCTTGTCAGATCATTTAAAATAATTATGTCTCTTTGTACAGTGTCCCAGATAGGGCATCTAAAAAGTTTGTTAGTAAGAAAAGATAATAGAAATGATCAGTATCCATATTCATTCTGTTCACATTTCAGTTCTTAGAAAAAAATGGTGAGGTAAAGTTGTATTGCAAATGTTACCCTTTATGAAAAATTATTTTTCATTACACATGAGGCACATTCAGTTGCATAATTGCAATTACTGTCTGTTTTATTAGTTGCCACCCCAACCATCTTATTTTTAAGAAAAGTAAACACCTGATTTTTCTTTTGACCTTCATCAAAAGGTCCCAGTCCACATTACAGTTCATTATCAGTACATTGTATGCTAGTCTATGAAATCACTAGGCTGGAAGTTAAAAGATGTTTAGCGTAGCCTCCAACTCGGAGAGGGTTTTTAATTTTATTTTTTATTTTGTTTTATTTTGATTTTAAGATTATCTGTAATTCCAAATATAGTCTGTTTTCTTGCCAAGGCAACAATTTTTCTAATTTACACATAGTCTCTCCCCAATCCAACCAATTCAGTTCAGTTTTTGGTTTCCTATTTGCAAAACTTTCTTTGTCGAACAATACTGTGGAATAAATGTTCCCAGTACTTCTTAGTACAGCAGTTCTCAACTCCAGCACCCCCAGGGCTCTTTTTATAACTGTGTGTTAACGCCCACCTCTACTTCCATTAAATGAAATTCAGAGGTAATACAACCTACCTACACACATTAGATTTTAAGTCAATATAATGTTCTAATGGAATATAAAGAAGAAATTAATGGAATGTGTGTTGCACTTGCAATGTGTGAATGTTCAGGCATGACCACAGTGAGGTCATGGAGCAGTTTTAGGTGTTGGCACCTATGGATAAATAGACTTCAACAGCTACAAATGCAGATGGAGTTGGGTTAATGACTCCAGTACCATGCATGAGCAACACTGTTGTCTGTTGACATTTTCCAAAAATTTTAGTTAGTGCAAATCTCACTCATTTCATTTGGTAATTGCGTTCTTAGAACCTTCGGTGCACTTAAAACCTATTCAAAAAATACTTTTTGTTTATTTGTAAGTCAGTGTTAGACTCTAGGCTCAAACAGTTGTAAACCTCATTGTTTGCTTGTTTTCCTGACATGAATGCACATGGGGCATTTGAAACTTGATGGAATATAAGCGATTCTTAATCAAGTAGAACTTCCCTGTATATTGAAGGATGGCTTGCATTCTTGACCTGCTTCAGGGGCAACCCAGCATTTTCTAAAACAAACAGAAATGCTCCCATGGATTTCTACACAGCCTCCAGGCGCATGATATGTTCTGTGAGAACCACCGCTGTGGAATGTTAGAACGGCACCGATCCTCACGTTGTCATCTTTGTTGTGCCAGGTCCTTACCATTTATGAGTTTGAGTAAAACGGAGCCGTAATGAACCATGCATTCAGAACATCCTATTTACCCATGGCAGAGCGCGCACTTCAATAAAACTGGCTCTGTGGCTGTCTGTAGTGAAGATGTTTTCACGGTTGTCCGTCTACTGCCAGAACGGAACTGGTTTCCGAGTTGCCCGGCCTGTTTGCATGTTTCACAGTTGCCTATAAAAGTGCAGTAATAGATCTGTGGTTTTAGATTTTGTATTTAAGTTCAGACTTGCCCCTCTCCTTCTGTGGCTTCTTTTAGACTTGGTGTTGTGTGTAAAGCCTTTGTTGTGCTGAACCTCATTCTCCATCCGTTGCGATTATTTTTTAGAGGAAAAGTACGGGTGTCTTCAGAGATTAGGTATTATGACTATAAACATAAACTCTCACCCGTCACATGTTAATCAGTGGAAGATTTAAATGCAATACCTTGTTCATGCTCTTAATTCTTTTATGACCCTTCAGTTAGTATTTTCTTTCCTTAATGAGCAAATCCTTATGTTTTATTTTGCTTTTACCCTCTATGGCAGAGACTAACCATTCCGAGCAGTTGCCCCAGAAGCTTTGCTGAGCTGTTACATCAGTGTTGGGAGGCCGATGCCAAGGTATGTGGACGCTTTTTGTTGCTGTTCAGAACTCTGGAATTTCACTTGTTTGGCTTTGAATTGGGGGGTGAGGGGTAATAAAATCTATTACAAAGCAAAGCTGGGCTGCTGTTCCCCAGATCGACTATGAAGGCTTTTTGTTCACATCTGCTGATCTTGACCCCTAGAAACTCAATAAAATGGGTCTTTCTTACAGCACTCTAACATTCTTGACTCGGTAAAGAGAAATTTGTTCCTTTCTTTTTCATCTTTAATGGTAACTATTGCACCTTCATGTTTTAAAGATGGCTAGCACACAGTGCTTATTATATGTCAGGCACTGTTCCAAATACTTTATGTATATTAAGTCATTCCTCACAATAGCTCTATGAAATAGGCACCATCATTATCCTCATTTTATAGATGAAGAATCAAGGCACACAGAGGTAGAGTAATGAGCTCGAGGCCACACTGCTAATACGTGGTGGGGCTGGACATGAACCCAGGCAGTCTGACAGGAGTCCCTGCTCTTATCCACTACACTCTATTGCCCTTTAACCAAAGACCAGACATAGCCCTTGGAGAGAACCTTGGTACCTACTCCCTGTCCAGTTTCAGTGATGTTTTTTAAACAGTCACAATGGAGTTGGAGAAATTCCAGACTTCGGCTTTCATGTGGTTATCTACAAAGATCATTTTAAAAGACTCTCACATACATACGGAAATATTTATAGATAAAATGATAGGCTAGTCTTGGATTTGCTTCAAAATAAAGTGAAAGGAAATGGGTGATGGTATAAATGAAATAAGATTAGCTATAATTTTTGAAGCTGAGTGATAGGTATATGGAGGTTCATTATATTATTCTATCATTGTGTATGTTCGGAATTTTCCATAATAAGAAGTTAAAAATAAAGAGGATCACAGATTAAACATTGCCTATAGTAAGAGAGTTATACTTAAGAAAGGAACTAAAATTTTATATTTTCAATGTGTCCAGTTTTTCATGGAAATACATCTATTGCAACCTGACTTTTAAATAGAGATCTAAAAATAAAAACTTAAGAATGGAATTTCTTCCTTAATTTAAACCCAGTTCCAGTCTGGCCCTCAAGAGGAATGAATGATAACATATAGGCTGTTCTACATGTTTCTCTAGTGGGAATAACTCGTAAATAGTTGGTGAGGATGGGAATTGTGTTAGTATAACTCAGGATTCCCGATGAATCATGTGTGAAGTTTCCCAGCACATTGTTCCGCCCCATCAGGTGAGAACAGGTGAAGATCAGGTACAGCAGCGTAGCAACAGTGCAGCAGGGCCCCTTCGACCTGCCTGCCCCTGCGGCTGGCTGCCCGCGCTTTGTCTTAGAAGGGTTTGCTGCGGTTCAACCCCCCACACCTCCTCCCCACCCCCCACCTTGACCATTTGCCTCTCCTCTCATTACCAACAGCCTCCACCTTTGCTTTTACTCCTGTTCATCGAACTGCCTTTGTCTTTTAAAAAGTAGAGTCCTTTAAAATGTATAAACTGTGTTGGTATTTTTATCTAGGATAGCTGTTGCTTTTATTAGTTTTCCGTGACAAAGTTACATAGGCTTTGAGTGGGCGGCCCTATTCCTGTTTCAGCTCTATTCTTTTAGAGTGAGAGTTTTCAGAATATGGAAATTTTTAAGCATTGAGATAAAGGCCTGCACTTTGTAACTAATCCAGTAGAAACTATAAGTGGCTACTTGCAAGCTTGCTGTAGAAGTTATTTTGTACCGTTGAAATAGTATCATACTACCCTTTTCATACTCTTTCTCCCAGTTATATATCCATTTTGGCATATACAGTAATTCTGTCAGTATTTTCCTCTCTGACATTTAAGTAGAAATTTCACCTGAAATTATTTGCATTGAATTAGATTAGTGCAACTAGATCTCTATAATTGTAATTATATTTCAGTATGCAAAGCAGGTTGTGAATTTCTTAATCAGAAACTCTGTACTACCTTAATTAAAATTCTGAGAGTGTACAGTTATGGTGCATTAATGAAATGGTAGTACAAACACCTATCAGCACAGAACATTAGTCCCCATGTTGGTGCCGTGAAGTTGGATGCCTTTAAGATGTGCTAAGCTCAACTTCCTTAGGACCAAAGGAATCTTGTGTTCTAGCCATGTGAAGTATAAAGAAAGTTTGATCGGTTTTTATTTCCTAAATTCATGATATTTTATTTTGATAAAACTAAGACATGGCACCTGTTCTTTTTAAAAAATATATATATATGTGTGTATATATATGTGTATATATATATAATTGACTTTTTACAGAGAGGAAGGGAGAGGGATAGAGAGTTAGACATATCGATGAGAAAGAGACATCGACCAGCTGCCTCCTGCACACCTCCTACTGGGGATGTGCCCGCAACCAAGGTACATGCCCTTGACCGGAATCAAACCTGGGACCTTTCAGTCTGCAGGCCGATGCTCTATCCACTGAACCAAACTGGTTAGGGCAACATGGCACCTGTTCTTGACCCAATTATACGCCCAGCCGCAGCCCACCTTCCCAGCTCCATCACTCAGCTCCTCTGGACACGCCTCCCACCTTCATTCCCAAACATGCTGTCCCTTCTTGTCTTTTCTCCTCTCATCACTTCATCATCAAGCTTCCCTGGTTACTCTGTTTACTCTGGCCTATAATTAGTGTTTCTTTTCCCAACCCACAATCTGGACTAGTGCCTTACCTTGTATTGTTGTATTTTTAAAAAATATTTTTTCTTCCTAACTTGATTGCAGGATATATAAGGGAATACAGCTAGTTTTAATATGTGTTTCCTTATAGCACCTTACATAAGTTGAGTAAATAGATGCCCAATTTGTGGTTGACTGAAGCAGCCAACCCAGGCTTGTTTTAGTTCTCCAGCTGGAAGTACATAGCATTTCAACCAGAAGTTGGTGCCAGACCTGTGCACATATAATAGTTGGTTGAAATATTTTTTCCAGTCCTCGGGCTTTAGAATATTAACACATAGATTAAAATATTCAGCTATAAAAATGTGTTCTTTTGCAATGAGGAGGAGGAAATGTGTACAAGAGCAAGCTGGTTGTAGGTTAATGTCCCGTCATTCCAGTGGCTTACCCCCGGGGCTCAAAATATTTCATTGAAGAAAAGAAGGAGGTGAAGGTAGGTATTGGTTCAAGTTCTAAAGTGACATTTCTAAATAAGAAAAAAGGTAACAGTTAAAGCCCTGAATGTGAAAGGAAGTCCTGTTTTACCCTCATCTGGTAAAGCATTCTGCAGGTTTACCTGCGTGGTCCCTGGCGCTGTGGCCTGCGTCCTGTGTGATGCTGGGCGGTTGATTCTTCTCTGAGACTGATTTTCCTTTATCTACGAAATGAAGATAACTAAAGGAATGCTGTGTGCGGATGCTTAATAAAGGGGCTCGTTGTGATTTTTAAGTAAGGAACGCCTGCATAATTCCTGAAAGGAAATTAAGTTCCTTCAAAGGAACTTACATAAGACCTTAGCCCAAATCTTGCCTTCTGCAGTCAGAGTATTCATAAACTATCATTACCACAAAAGTCTGCATTGGCGTTGCTTGGTTAAATGTTCACTTTGATCATTTCTCTTTGAGAGCATATTCTATGGATAAAATTAAGATTTTTTTCTAGGGGTACTTGTCATCCAGTTACAAAAGATTTTTCACCTTATTGCAAGAATGATTATGTAGGATTATATTATTTAAAACTTCATTAATTCTTCTGCCTTTTTAATGCAAAATGAAAATCCTTTATTTATTATATAATTTTTTCCTATACAAATAATTAAAACTTTGTAACCTTACACATAGTGGTAGAAATTAAAATGGGAACAAAGTCAAAAGAAGACAATATTTTTCAAATTTCCTATTTACAGCATTTTTCTTTTTTGCTTTTCTAATAAGAAAGGATTGATATATATTAGTGACATTTTGCTACTTTTTCCCTCTCTTAATCTCTCTCTCTCTTTTTCTCTCTCTCTTAAAAGAACTCAGGGGGAAAAAAGAACTCAGAATAAATCTCTCCATTTTATATTCCTGAGAAACCGGAAAATTGCCTTTCTTAATGTATGAAGCACTCAAGTCCTGAGAGCAAGCACCTCAACATTATTCCTTCTTGTTTTTGTGCTCCTAAATTAAAATGCATGTTTTAATTGCTGCAACTGTAATTTATTCAGAAATGCTCTAATTATGAGGCATGATGAAGAGAGAATATGCATCATACTTTTATTATCTTTCTCCATTTTGGGTTTAACCTTTTCTCTCAACCTTGGCTCCAGTCTAAAGAGATAGACTACTGTAGTTACTGTAAGCTAAAGAAATACACCTAACCACTCCCTTTTCAATTTCTGCTGAACAGTATCCTAGCGTTTTCCAGCACCAAAGTTAGTTACAATGTGGAATAAATATTGAGAACAATTAAGTGATGATGGTTTTAAATTGGGGAAATTTTCTGAGCACGTGGTTTAGGAAGAAGTTTTGTTGGTTCTCATAAGTTTACAAGTAGATTTTCTCCAAAAAAAATTATTATACACATGTTTGAACATCCAGAAAAGTTGAAAGAATTTTACAGCGAATACTGCTATACCTGTCCCCTAGCCTAGACCAGCCGTGAGCAAACTACGGCCCGCGGGCCGGATCCGGCCCGTTTGAAATGAATAAAACTAAAAAAAGAAACAGAAAAAGACCGTACCCTTTTATGTAATGATGTTTACTTTGAATTTATATTAGTTCACACAAACACTCCAGCCATGCTTTTGTTCCGGCCCTCTGGTCCAGTTGAAGAACCCATTGTGGCCCTCGAGTCAAAATGTTTGCCCACCCCTGGCCTAGACTCTGCTATTAACGTTTACATGCTTGCTTTATCACATAGAGTTTTAAAGGACTTAACTTTTGCCTTTTACTAGTAGGAGTCCTTAATCATACCCAGGTCAAAAAGAGAATTAGTACTTTTCTTATCTGAAGAAAAACTGAAATTATTCCAAACGGAGGTCACAGATAAAAAAAAAAGGGGGGGGGGAGGCATGAGTCTATCCTTATGAATAATTGATTGAAAATAAGGAATACAGTTCCCTAAACCTGAGTGGTCGGTTGTAAACTGACTAAATTAGGACTTTACATCCTATTTTATTTTGTCATGATAAGTTGAACTTCTTACTCTGCTTATAGATTTTCTCTTGAAGATCTATCTGAATTTCTAACAAGTGGTTATTTATTTTCTCTTCTTCAGAAACGGCCGTCTTTCAAGCAAATCATTTCAATTCTGGAGTCCATGTCTAATGACACTAACCTTCCCGACCAGTGTAACTCATTCCTGCACAACAAGGCGGAGTGGAGGTAGGTAGGCCTGCTCAGCAGGCCCCTCCCTGGCTTCAAGGACCAGGACTAACTGAAGGGAAGGAGAGAACCAGAAAACTAGATGACAATCCTGGTTTCTAAGAATAGCTTAGAAATTGCGGCTTTTTATTTTGCTTTTAATATTTTTATTGATTTCAGAGAGAGAGGGAGAGAGAGATAGAAACATCAATGATGAGAGAGAATCATTGTTCTGTTGCCTGCCGCACATCCCCAAACTGGGGATCAAGCTCACAACCTGGACAGGTGCCCTGCCGAGAATCGAACCGCGACCTCCTGGTTCATAGGTAGATGGTCAATCACTTGAGCCACACTGAGTAGGCTTGTTTTCTTTTTGTGTTAAAAATTTCTGGAGATTTGCCGAAACCCGTTTGGCTCAGTGGATAGAGCGTCGGCCTGCGGACTGAAAGGTCCCAGGTTCGATTCCGGTCAAGGACATGTACTTGGGTTGTGGGCACATCCGCAGTAGGAGATGTGCAGGAGGCAGCTGATTGATGTTTCCCTCTCATCGATGTTTCTAACTCTGTCTCTCTCCTTTCCTCTCTGTAAAAAAATCAATAAAATATTAAAAAAAAATTCTGGAGATCTAATAAGTCTTCCATTTCATATGTAAGCAAAAATGAGAGTTCCCCTCTGAGCTTGTTGCATGAGTATGTGGAAAGACTATTGAAATCATATCTTCTGAGACACAGGACAGTTAGTTACCATTTCTCTGTGTACACTCTGTATTGGAAGCTTTGGCCTCTGTCCAGTGAGAAATAAAAATACTGTTTGCCTGGAAATTTGCAGAGAGCACTCTATGTTGATGGAGAAGGTAGGAGGACTATATAAAAACACTTTTGAAAGAAAACTTTAGATGTTATAAATCCTATTAAATTGTGTCAAGTGTAAAACAAGTTCAGTAATGAGAAACTGGTATTGTGTGAGTGGAAGAACTAAGCCTGGGATGGGACATTTGAGCCAGGTCACATGATGCTCGAATATAAATAGCATGTTTGGGAGCTGACATTCCTCCCTGACTCAGCAGAGACTTAAGTAACTGCCTCTCTGCTCCAGAGAGCCCGGCGGTAATGAGACGCCTTGCGCCACCTGCTGATGCCAAATGAATACTGCATGTGCTTTGAAAACGATGAAGTTGTTTTCTCCGGTTCTTAGACATGTTTTTGGGCTGTTCGGTTGGTGTTTTACAATAACTTTATTTATTTTTATTCTTTTGAAATTTTTATCAAAGGCCAGCGAGTTAAATGAATTTTTATTTAGGGACACAAAAGGAATACTGCCCGTTGTAGTCTAGGCACAAAGGATTTGGTTCTGGGCTGAAATAATTAGCAAAACATGTAAAATTAATATTTTTTCCTATAATAAGAGTTCAGCACAAATATACAAAATAGTAAGTCCATATAAAGGGGTGCCCAGTACTCTAGGACAGAAGCCAAATACTTAGTAAGACTCATGAGACTCACTTCACTCTGGCCCCAGAGCCTCACCTGTAGAGCTTCGGTCTGTCCTTTATTTCTGGCTTTCAGTCCCTCAGGAGGTGCGTGGTCCTTCCTCCCACAGAGTTCTTGCAAAATATAGTTTGTTTTGTTTAAAATTCATCCCTGTTTGTAACATTCACAGTATTATCAAGTAGATAATAATATTTTACCTATCAAACTGGTGAAGGTTAATTAAAAGCACTGCTATTCCTCCACGTTTATGGACTGTGAGGCAGGCACTCTCACACATGGCTGGCAGGATTGTAAACTGATACAGCCTTCCCAGAAATCAGTTAGGATCAGGAACCTTTAAATTTTTCATACCATTTGTCTGAGAAATTCCATCTCTAGGAATCTAATCTAAGGAAGTAGAGATGTGGACAAAGACATATGCCCAAAGGGTTTTACAGTTAAAAATAAAAGGCATCTTCAAGCCTCACTAGTGTGGCTCAGTGGTTGGGCGTGGACCCATGAACCAGGATGTCACGGTTCGATTCCCAGTCAGTGCACACGTCTCGGGTTGTGGGCTTGATCCCAGTAGGGGGCATGCAGGAGGCAGCCAGTTGATGATTCTCTTTCATTATTGATGTTTCTATCTCTCTCTCCCTCTCCCTTCCTCTCTGAAATCAATAAGAACATTTTTTTTAAAAAAGGCATCTTCAGCCCTAGCCAGTTTGGCTCAATGGATGGAGCATCGGCCTGTGGACCGAAGAGTCCTGAGTTTGATTCCGGTCAAGAGCACATGCCCGGTTGCAGGCTCGATCCCCAGTAGGGGGCATGCAGGATGCCCTCTCTCTCCCCGCTTCCTCTCTGAAAACAATTAAAATATATTTTAAAAAAATAATCTATAATAATAAAAGCATAATATGCTAATTAGACCAGATGTCCTTCTGGATGACCTTCCAGATGAAGCTGGGGCTGTGAGGGAAGCCCAGGTCCTGAGTGCCAGAGGGAAGCCGGTGAGGGCAGCCAGGGGAAGGAAGGCCTACTCTTGCATGAATTTCATGCCTCGGGCCTCTGGTAAATAAATAAAAAGGCATCCTCAAGGTCCAGCATTAGAAAAATAGGGACCGCCCAAAAATTATTTAAAAAAATAATAATAAAATAAAATAAAAAAGAAAAATAGGGAATGGTTACAGAAAATACTGTCTATCCATAGGCTGTTGTAAAGCCACCTTTAGGGTGTGGTGGTGGCTGGCAGGGGCATAAAGAGCTTCTGAGAGCTGATGATATTCTATTTCTTCATCTGGGTGCTGGTTATACAGGTGTGTTCACTTTGTGAGAATTTATTTTGTTGTATTTTTCTGATATGTACACTTTTCTGTATGTATATTGTACTTCATTAAAAATGTAACTTAAACCCGGCTGGTATGGCTCAGTGGTTGAGCATCGACCTATGAACTAAGAGGTAAGGGTTTGATTACCAGTCAGGGCACATGGCCGGGTTGCAGGCTCAATCCCCAGTAGGGGGCGTGCAACCTAATCTAGCTGGTCAGTGATTCTCATCATAGATGTTTCTCCTCTCCTTTCCTCTCTGAAATCAATAAAAATATTTTTTTAAATTTTTAACTTAAAAATATAAAAATAAATAAAGCTCATCCCTGTTTAAAACATCAACTCTAATGACAGAGAGCAGCTAAAATAACATGATGTTTAAGAAGTATTTCCTGGCCCCAGACTACACGAGGCTCCACTTTATGTGCTCGGAGAACATCTCCTTCATAGCCCATGACTGCTATTGTAATTAATAAGTAATTTACAGTTTATTTAATGTGTGTGTGTCACTGGCTAAAGTGGATCAGGTTTATCACTGTAGGTGCCTTGAAGCATCTAGAAGGTACCTTGGCCATAGCAGTTGCTCAATAACTATTTGGGGAAGAGAATACAGTGGTGCTAATAATATAAAAAGACAGTATGGTATTGCACAAGAGAATATAAATATGCAAGTTAATTTGTTTGCACGACAAATATGTTCTCACATGCACTCACTCAAATACTTGTTGAACTTTGGCTGAGGCAAGGTGCCTTCTAGGTATTGGGTTTGGTGATGAGCAGATCAGTCCCAGTGCACATGGAATGCCCCGTGTTGAACTAGGAAGTATAAGTATACAAATAATTATTACTATTTTGAGAATAGTATCATACTATTTACTATCATACTGAAGGACACAAAAAGGCAGTTCCCCCAAAAAAGAAACCCAATGGCCAAGAAACAAATGAAATATATTCAACCTCATTTAGCAGTCAAGTAAATAAACATAAGGGAACATAATTCGCTTCTCAGATTAGTAAAAATTTATATCATGAAAATACCCAATGTTATGAATTTTCTCATGCATTGCTGGTGACAAAAATACTACCTTTCCAAAGAAGGTATTCCTAAAAAAATGAATGAGAAGATTATGCAAGAATGTAGGACACCTCTATCCTTAGAATCATAAAACTGAAAATGGCATCAAGTGCAATAAAAAGGAGATTCATTTTGCTTTTATTGTTTATTTGTGGTTTTTAAAAGTTACAGTATCTCCATTCACAGCATAGTATGGAGAAATTCATGGTAACAAAGATCTGATAAAATTATTTTAAAATGGAGGCTACAATCCAGTATGTTTAGAGTGATTCCATTTTTGTAAAATAAACATGTTTATATGTATATTTGTGTGTACATAGAAAAAAATCAAAAGGTCATTGTTATCATTGGGTAATAAGCTTATGGAAAAATGTTTTCTATTTGTTTATCTTTAATGTTTTCTACGATAAATCTGGATTAGCTGAATAATAAATTTAATGTTTTAAATGCTTCAAAATGAAAAGATGAAGGGAATAAAATTGGTAAAACATTATTGTATTTTAGTAAAAGGTGAATACAGTAGTTGCCTAGAGGGCTGCCTCATTGGCTGTCTTTCAGGAATGAGTTAATCCCGCGAGCTGAAAGAGTATAGATCGTTACCTGGACCACTAAACCACTGTCTGAGACACAGCAGAGCTGTTTTATCTGAACTTGGGCATTGGTTAAAAACATGGAGAGTAATATATTAAGTAGAATAACAATAATAAGCACAGCTGCCATGTATTACATTCTTACTAGATAGTTATGCTTTTTTCAGATTATCTTTTTTAATCCACATATCGACCCTGACATCACAGATGCAAAAACCGAGGCGTGGACAGGTTGGGTAACCTGCCCAAATCACATGGTATATGATGGAGCCAATAGAGCAGCAGTTCTCAACCTGTGGGTCGCGACCCCTTTGGCGGTCGAACGACCCTTTCACAGGGGTCGCCTGAGACCATCCTGCATATCAGATATTTACATTACGATTCATAACAGTAGCTACATTACAGTTATGAAGTAGCAACGAAAATAATTTTATGGTTGGGTCACAACATGAGGAACTGTATTTAAAGGGCCAGAAGGTTGAGAACCACTGCAGTGGAGGAACCCAGGTGGTCTGATCCCCAGGCCTGCAGTAGCACACGCCTGCAGTGCTGTTCTGGGACTGTGGCCAGTGTCACGCCATCCACTTAGCGTTCAGTGTTCCCTTGACCAGGCTCCTTTTTAGAGAAGAGAAATATGACGGCATGATTAGTTTGAATAACGTAAAACAACTATTTCACTCATTATACCAAGTGGTGAAAAGAATTAAATGTTTTGGCATCATCTGGGTCAGTGGTCGGCAAACTGCGGCTCACGAGCCACATGCGGCTCTTTGGCCTCTTGAGGGTGGCTCTTCCACAGAATACCATGTGCGGGTGCGCACGTACAGTGTGATCGAAACTTCGTGGCCCATGCGCAGAATTCGGTATTTTGTGAAAGAGCTACACTCAAGGGGCCAAAGAGCCGAATGTGGCTTGCGAGCCGCAGTTTGCCGACCACTGATCTGGGTGTTTCAGAAGACAACACATCAGACCACTCCTCTCTCTCCCCTCCCCACCCCCACTTGGTCTGGTGTCTGAAACCATGCGGCTGTTGTCCAAAGCGTGTATTGAAAATCAGAGTCACAGTGAAGTCAGATTCCAGTCCTTCTCTGGCGTTTCTGGCAAATGCTTGTTTTCTGGTTGAGCTTCCGCTACCCAAAGACCAGATGGAACACCTATCCAGTTTTAGAAAGTTAATGATTATGCTGGAATTCTTTTTAAAACGAGGTTATTAAAAACCACCTTAACTATGTTCTTTCCTTTGACCTAATGAATGACAGGAAAGAAATCTTGTCCACGGCTCTTGCTCATCACACCTTCAGCTTGTTTCTCCTCGGTTGACTTGCTAGCAATAGTGGCAGTGAGCATGGGAACAGAAACTATGTCACCCTGTCTCGGTTTTCACTGCCCCGTGGGCTCTCTGCGGCCTGTGGGAGTCTGTGCTCCCTGAGCCGGGTGGTGTGTGAAGGAGCACTCAGGTCTCTGTGTCGGCTGAGCACTCTGGGTTGTGGTCTGACTTGTGATCAAATACTCTCCCTGGGGCATGGCCTCTTAAAAACAAAGATCAAAGAAATTTAATCTTTGCTATTTGGGTATTAGCACACATCATTTAATACATAAGAACAAATATAATCTACACATTATATACTTACGTAATATATGTACAATAAAGCTGTTTTTTACTCATTGACCTTTTATTTCAAAGGAAGTTTCTGTCTAATAAAGAAGATAATTACACTTCATCGCCTGTTTTTAGCATATGGAAAATTCATAGTAGTGGCAGTCAGCCTTCATTAGGTTTTGTTTAAGAGTAAAACTGTAATTTTCATCAGTTAAAACATGTAAACCATATTTTTTACAACAGGAAAGTTATATAAATCCATTAAGAGATGCATTTGGGTGCAAAACAACACATCACCAAAAGCAAGGACAGCAAGGGGCGCAGGCTCTTTTACTCTTTTTCCCTCTCATTGACTGAAGATGGCTCTCTCTTTGTTATAAAAGTTGAACCACATTGATTTTCCTCCTCAGTCCTCTATTTTAGAAATAAAAACAAACTTATTTATGAATGGGTATAATATTTATGTCTGATATCATACTTGGGGACTATAGTGTGATTTTACTATATTGGTTTTTAATTTTCACATGGCACCAAGAAAGTAAAGTGTCAGACCCAAATCTAGACCCGTCTCAATAGCTGTTCCCTGAGTTGGGATTTGTCCATAATTGTTTTGTCTGCATTCGTTTAGTTCTCATCTACGAGGACATTGGAATAAGCTGTCCACTTATTCTGATTTTCCCTGGAAATAAAATAAAAGGCAGATTTTGGTCACATATATTCATTAACTTAGATCTGGGGGCTTCTACTTTCCACAGACATGGTCTCAGCCAGAATTCCTGAGCCTGCCATGCAGGTTTGTCTTAATGGCACCTGGAAACAGCTGTTGTCAGCACTCAACAGCTGCTCTACACATCACCTCTTTCCAGCCTCTTTCTTCTCTGTGTGTGCCTTCTCCAGCCTTTCGTCCCTAGGGTTCTCTCTCTCTCTCTCTCTCTCTCTCTCTCTCTCTCTCTTTTTCCTCCCCCTCCCTCCCTCCCTCTTTCTTTCTCTATTTTTTTTTCATTACTGTTACTTTTCTCATGGGCTCTTCAGAAACTCAAGGGAAAGAACATCCAGCTCTCAAAGGATAAGTTTAGGCTTAAACATGGTAGTCCTGAAAGAGGAGAAAAATGCATTGAGCCATCTCACCAGGTTCAATTTCTATGAAGTGGTGAGGTTGGTCGATCTATACAGACTCAGGAGGGGGCTTTCTTTTAAAATTATTAGAGTGAAAAAGGACCTTGGAGTACATATGGCCCAGAATTTCCTACACTTGCCTGATGGTAAAAACTATCTGGATCTTTTATTAAATAATATAAATTCCTGGGCCCCACCCAACCCTACGGAATCATGAGCTCTAAGGAAGGATCCTAGGAATATGAGTTTTGCTGTATGGGTTTGTTTGTTTGTTTGTTTGTTTGTTGTTTTAACCTGCTGCACAGATAATTATTAGGATCAGGCAAGTTAGGAATCCCTGATGTCAGATAACCACCACCCCTTACAACTCAGGAAACAGAGTCAGCTTAATCAATTGATTACTTGACTTAGCCAGGGAATAAGCTAACGTGAATTTACTAATGGTGTGATATTGATCACCTACCTTGAGGATCATTTTCCCATCTCTCTCTCTCTAAGATTAGCACCTGTTTCTTGGGACTGTTGTGAGAATAAGATGAGATAATATAAATTGTCCTTTGTAAATTGTAAAGAGCTAGACTAGAGGAGTGTGAGCATTTATTAAATGGCTAAACTAGAACACCAGTGCCGTGGCTTTGGCTCCTTAATGCTTTGTTAAAGTATTTGAGCTTATTTTTCCAAACTAGAAACTACACATTGACTTTGAAGGCCATGAAAGATGTGTTATTCTCTGAGAGTTTGCTGTTTGGTTTAAAAGCATGAGTTTTAGCTTTTTACCTTGATTACGAGTAAGTATTCTACTGGACCCATTTAATCACTCTTGAGCAAAGTTGAGACTTAAACCAGTTATCCCTGTGCAGGTGTGAAATTGAAGCAACTCTTGAGAGGCTGAAGAAACTAGAACGTGACCTCAGCTTTAAAGAGCAGGAGCTCAAAGAACGAGAAAGACGTCTGAAGATGTGGGAGCAAAAACTAACGGAGCAGTCCAACACCCCGGTGAGTGTTCCTACGCTGAGCATGGCGCATGGCAACTCTTCCCCTCCCTCCCTCCCTTCCACTGCCACCTCCTCACTTCCTGCCTAACACTTATATATTATAAGGCCCACACTTACACTCAAGTAGAACTCATATCTCATTTCAGTTACAAAATGCCAAAAATG